TTTTATGGATTTCGGGGGCAGCTGCCTTGGGCAGAAACCAGAGGAAGAGCTTGCAGGGAAAAGGGCTTTGCAGGAGGCAAGGAAGCTCCTCCTGGAATTCAGGAGTGGAGAGATGGGAGGGGATCCCTGGGTCATCCAGAGGAGGAGGACACGAGAGCGAGGCTTTGGATGGAAAGCACTATTTGTGTTTAGGTCCCTGAGATTGTGTGGGATGAGGAAAGTTTAGTCGGAAGAGCACAAGACTCTTAATCTCAGGGTTGTGGGTTCTAGCCCTGCATTGAGAAAAATAATTTCCTGCATGGCAGGGGGTTGGACTAGATGACCCTTATGGTCCCTTCCAACTCTTCAATTCTATGACCAGATGTAATTCCCGCCCCCTGAAAAAACCCACCCACCCACCCCACCTAGCCTGCTCTTGTGCCTTCAGGGGCGTTTGATCTTCACTAAAGATAAAGGGAAGCTTTTGCCAGTATGGAGATGATGAGCATATTGACTGGTTGATATCTGGAGGATGAAGCTGCTCTTGAAGGCACAGCTGGGGGCTTGCTAAGCTGGCACTCCCAGGCGGAGGTTTGACCACTGGAGCCTTGGGGGGCCTGGCTGGCTTGGCCCATGGGCAGCTGCAGCTGGTCAGCCAGCATAGAAGCTGCTGCTGCTGCCAAGTCTGTAAAGGATGCCATGAAAAGACCCACACAAAGAAGTCGCTTCAGTTGGAGCTTTGCTTGCAAGGCTACTGCAAATAGCTGCTGTTGTGGATTGAATTCATGTATTTCCTTAATAAAAACATTTACATGCCACTAAAATATATTGTAGAAAATATATCAAAGCAGCTTACAACGTTGAAAAGGTAAAAATACAAAACCCATAGAATTTTCCAGGCAGAGGGCTGCACTTTAATGCTTCATGTCTGAGGATGTTCTGCTTTGGTTTTCCCCATGAAAACCCACTCTGTAGCACTCGGTCAGAGCAAACGTCAGTTGGCATTTGTTCTGGTTGAGCTTAAATACTGTGCTTTTGCAGGGAAACCTTCAGAGCGCAAATAGGGTGCCCAGAACGTGCTTGGAAAGAGTGAAGTTAAGTGTGGAGAAGCCTAGTTTCATGTCCTTCTTGTCCCCCAAATTGCTCAGGCAAACCTGCTTTATCATATTGCAAGAACATGGAAACTCCAGCGGGTGGAGAATGCCATGGCGAGGCTCCTGACGGGGTCCTTGTCATGGGATCACATTCATCCAGTGCTTTACCAACTCCCGGTGGAGTACAGGGTCAGGTTCAAGGTGCTGGTTTTGACCTTTAAAGCCCCATGCGGCCTGGGACCCACGTACCTACGGGACCGCCTCTCCTGGTATGCCTCGCGGAGGACCTTAAGGTCCACAAATAACAACATTTTGGAGGCCCCAAGTTGCAAGATGGTTAGATCGGT